GAGACAGAGACAGACAGGCAGACGGACGGACAGACAGACAGAGCAAAGCAATGACTTTTGCAGAGCTGCGTGGGCGCTCATGGCTTTACAATAATTAAGCCCTCAGGGAGTAGTTTGAACGGCGCTATTTGTCCGTGGTCTGAGGGCGAACAGAAGCTTGACTGATTCTGGGACCTCAGTTTTTCTGCCGCAGAGTGTGAATGGTCAGTGGGTGGTCAGTGGGTGGTCAGTGGGAGGGCGGTGGGCGGCCTGAATTTCTCGTTGTCTTTCCAGTGACGTAGGTTTTAGAGCATTCGACAGGGACATATAAAGAAGAGACCTAAACCTAACCCTAACCCTAATCCTACCCTTACCCTACTCATAGCCGTCTATTGTATTCTACTCTGTCTCATAGTGGTCGCTCGTTACGGAAAGTCCTCCCTATTATACGTATACACAGTTTATTTACCCGTGCCTAAAGCCTAGACCTGGGCTCAAGTGGAGGTGACCCATTTACCAACTTGTCACAAGTGCTACGAACGACATGTCCTTTCGGATGAGCTCACCACCCGGACCAACTCCAGCAAACACTTGATTTATGATATCCTAGACTGAGCACTGTCATGGTCGACACTCTTTCATCATAATTTCTGATTATTTTCCTTTATCATTCTTTGTTTGAAATTAACAAAATCGCATAATTTCCCATTTTTTGGGCTCAGTTGGCATAATTTCAGATTTTCCTTCTGCATAAAACGACGGGGATTAAACATTTTGCTGCCCAAATGGGCACACCCCCCCCCCCCCGGGGGCAGTGCTACTGACTGAAGTGTCCTTAGGTCATTCCCAAAGGGTGGGGTGGTGGGGGGGGGGCATTAATCATGTTCTTATGCACAGTAGAATTGTAATTGTAAATGGGCTGATTCATCAATGTCACGCTCATAACTGTGCCTGAACTGCAACAGGGAACGGCTGCTTCTTTCTTTCCTTACCTTTACTATCGTCATTTTTCCTCTGCTTCTTTTGTATGTTTGTCACTCTTGTGACCCGCTATTTCCGGGGTGCCTTGATAGTCGAAGCAGACTTTGTCCAGTTGAAGTTAGAGAGGTGAGCCGTCTAAGTCTGATTCCCTGTAAGGACTTTCTCTGTTGACATCCACCTCTTGGCGCTCCTATGACCTTATGCTGTTGCGAGTGCCGTAAAACCTCTACTAAATCAAAAAACAAAACAAATGGGCACCAAGGACGCCCAGAATGAAGGGTGAAAAAGAAAAGGTTTAACGCCCCTGTCAACACGATTACTAGTTATTTGAAAGGCAGGACCTACACGTTTAAAGTCTGTCTCCGAAAGGACTAGGTCAAATAAGAAATTCGTGTGAAGTATCTTTCCCAAGGACACAACGTCATGCCAAGTTGAGGCTCAAACCCCGAACCCACAATCTCCCGATTACAACGAGTCCGGTTGCCTAACCACTAGACTACTGACGCCACTTCAGACTGCAGCGGAAGACAAAACTACCAGTGTGGTCATAGATAAGAACCGTCCCCTTCTTGCCCTGGATTTGATTTGTTTTGTTTGTTTTGTTTGTTTTTGTAAAGTGTTTTACGGCGCTCGAAACTGCATAAGGTCATATGAGCGCGCGGGACACACCTAATATTTTCAGTTGGTAGGAAATTTTGAATTTTGCCTGGGTGGCGGCCGAAGCCTACTCTTATCGATTTTAGACCACCAAGGGATCTTTATCTTGCGCAACTTGAACACGGGCCCTTCGAGATTTTTCGCCCTTGTCCGAGAAGGCTAGGTGTAGATCTTTCCTACCAGAAGATCAGGGGTGTGGCTGAAAGACAGCAGTAAGAAGAAGCCAGGAGTAGCAGTAGAAAGGCTGCAGAAAGAGTCAGGAGCCCAGAGGAGGGGACAAAGGAGGTGAGGTGGTGGGGGCAGAAAGAGGAGACGAAAGCAGACGACAGAACATTGCTAGAGAGCAGGAAATGAGGTGAAAAGAGACAAATTTAGAGAGAAAAAATTTTTCGGTCGCTACCCGGATTCGAACCCGGGATTTTTTTAATGAGAGGCCAACACCTTAACCTCTAGGCCACGAGAGCCCCCACCACTAGGCCACTGACGCCACTGACGCCACTGACGCCACTTCAGATTGAAGCTGAAGAGAAAACTACCAGTGTGGTTATAGACAGGGCCGCGTTAATTAAGTGCGGAGCCCTAGGCTGTCCCTGAGCCGCGGGGCCGCGGCCCCTCGATGACGTTGATGCTACTTCTGTAAAACGTGATTAGATGTAGGCCTACCGGTATCCACCAATAATGTGGATTAAGACGACGACAAGCACATTTATAGATCTATTTCTGTTACAAAGTATGAGGCAGCCGAAACCTATCAGCAGCAGCCACAACAACAGCAACAGCGGTAGCATCAACATCCTTCTCATCAACATCAACATCCTTCTCATCAACATCCTTCTCATCAACATCAACAACAACAGCAACTGTAAAAACAACAGCAATACAAACAACAAACATCAACAACAATTCAACAAGAGGACAATTTTTTTTGTTGAAAAACATTTTTTAAACGTCGTGTTTGCAAGCGCGGGGCCCCTGAGGCGCGGGGCCCTAGGCTACAGCCTAAACAGCCTTACGGGTAACGCGGCCCTGCTTATAGATAAGAACCGTCCCCTTCTTGCCCTGAATTTGATTCCAAATAGAGTCAAATGGCGCGCCCTGTGGTAAACAGGAAATTTGTCACAGTGCACAGTTTGGAGACGGGGCTCTCGTGGCCTATAGGTTAAGGTGTTGGCCTCTCATTCTAAAGGTCCCGCACAAGGACAAGCCTGTTGGCCACGGGTTTGTCGGTGAGCTGAGAATGGTGACAGTCAGATCTGTTTTAGTAAAGTTTTTCTGCGCTCGCAACTGCTTCTTTTATCAACACTTAACAATAACTTGCGTGCAGACGTGAGCGAATTTCAAGCCAAGCCAGGGGCAATAAATAAACCGCCATCTTTCTGCTTGACCCGCCTCGAGTCGCACCGCCAGTCACCTCTTTGTCTTTGTGGTAATGTTCTTTGCTCTGCTGTGCCCGCTCTGCTGGAAGTGTGGCCAGAGCCAAAGGTCATAATTATGAGCGCTGGCAGTCAGAGAACCCTGTCTTTAGTTTAGTTTTAGTAAGAATTTTACGGCACTTGCAACACAATAAGGTCATATAAGTGCCGAAGAATAGATGTGTTACAAGAGAGTAACTACTAACATACAAAAAAAAAAAGAAGGAGGAGAGATAAGGACGATAGATGTTTGATAGGAAAGAAAGAGGAAACCACACTAGAGCGCCCGCCAACCACCCACAGATAACCCTGTCTTACCAACACCACACAACAATGTTATGAAAATTTAGTCGAGCTTCTTTTAAAAAAATTACATTTTCATTGTTCAAAACTCACCAACAAAATCATGCTGTTGCTACCGCCGTAAAACGCCAAAACAAACAAACAAACAAACAAACAAACAAACAAAACAAAACAAAGCAAAAACCGTTGGCCAACTTGGATGAGTCGCGCCTGGGCTGAAATACCCGTTCATTGATAAGGAAGAAAACTTATAGGAGGAATGAGAAAGACAAAGCTAGATGTGATTAAACACACGTACATGTATTTGGCTCGATCTTTATTTATTTTTTAAAACCTGCTTCAGGAGACCCAGTAGGCGATGTGTGTGTCTGAAGAGTAACTACGATCTAGTGGGTGGTTGGCGGGTGCTCTGGTGTGGTTTGC